ATTCCATGATGATGCTACAATGTCTGGCGCATCACCCTATATTCCCTCCTCTCCTGACCCAAGGAAGTATATTTGATACTATTGTTACAAGTCTTCTGGCCAGGGCTCTTTTTGTAGAAAAAGCCCAGCAGGAACTCATTAGCATAATAGGCCACACCCAACACCAGAAACTCATTAGCATATTAGACCACACCCTGAAAGCACCACTCATTAGCACATTAGGCCACAACCCCTTGTTACCAAAAGAGTGGTCATCCAGCCACACCCACCTTTCCCTTCTTATTCGGTTTACCTTGTTTGTGGTCAAAATCCAGGGCTTTTTTTGTAGCAGGAACTCCTTTGCATGTTAGGCCACACACCTCTAATGTAGCCAATCCTAATGAGTTTCTGCTATTGGGTGTGGCCTATTATGCTAATGAGTTCCTGCTGGGCGTGGCCAACTCAGGAGCCTGCCGGAACTCCGTTCCTGAGCGTTCCTGCCCAAAAATAGCCCTGCTTCTGGCAAAACTTGAAGATGCATTTGTTCTGAAAGGCTTTTGAAAGAACCAGGTTCTGGCACTTGAGGACTGAACTGTTTGATCTGTACTGATATTATTTTTGTATTGTGCTTTCACCTGTGAGTCACCTTGGGCATTCATTGGATGGAAACATCGCTAGCAGATTTAGCAAAATGAAGTGAAATAAATAAAGATGGACGATCAAGGTTGCCACTATCGAACAGAATGATTACAAAAGAGATTGTAAATTTGTTTTGTGTGGGTGATGCACTGCTGCATGATCTAATGCATCCTTCTTAACGTCTTTTCCCTCTTTCAGGTTGGAACTGAATGGGACGCCAAAGAGAGGATATTTCGGAATTTTGGTGGACTTATGGGGCCCATGGACGAACCTGTTGGCATGCAGAAATGGGGGAAAGGTCCAAATGTCACTGTTACCATCATCTGGGTGGACCCCATAAATGTCATTGCCGCTACCTATGACATTCTCATAGAATCCAGTGCTGAATTTACTCACTACAAGCCACCTTTGAATTTGCCCCTCCGGGCTGGAGTCTGGACTGTTAAAATCCTGCATCATTGGGTACCCGTCGCTGAAACCAAATTCTTGGTGTCTCCTGTGACATTTTCCAACAAGCAACCCATCAGACAAGGTATGTTTCCTTGCTCCTAATGCTGACAACAGCAAATTTCTGACTTCAGCATTGAAAACGCAGGCAATCATTGTCAAAAGTCAGTGGCCATGACATTCACTGGGGGACCGTAGGCCAGTCAAACTTTCTGTCTGTCTCTCTCTTTGCCTAACAGCCTCATAGGGTAAAATAAAGGAGGGGAGAACCAAGTACTCTGCCCAGAAATCCTTCAAGGAAGCCAGAGTTCTGTACTCACTTGCTGCCAGTTCTCCCAAGCCAGTGTGAAGCCTTACCTTTGGATAACAAGCCTAACAGACAGGAAATCTGAGTTAGCCTGGTGATGTCATTCTTCCTGCAAGGTCCTCTGCCGGAGGGGGATTAACAGGATTTAGGCTAGTGGGATATTTGAGACAAATTTGCTGTGTACGGGTACGCATTCGGGTCTACCTTAACCAAAAATATACCTGAAAAACACCTTATTGGTATTTTTCAGGTATATTTCAGCTTCCCAAATGTATCTGGGTTTTCTTGGGAAAACCGAAAAAAAATCCTGAAAAAATCCCAGATATATTCGGGAATTAACGGTAGATCTGAAAACAGAGGAGAAGCAGGAGCAGATTGCTCCCGCCTTTCAGCTGTTTATCGGGCTTCTACTGTAGTCCCTTTAAAGTTCAAAGGGACTGCAGAAGACAGCCCAAGGGTCAAGACTGGCTGTGCTGGGGGGGGGAGCAGACTGTTCCCGCTGGTTGGCTTGGGACTGGCTTCTCCCATAGCATGGTTTAAACCGGGATGCCGGAGAAGCCATCCCAGCCAGGATCTGCGTGTCTCAGAGAGTGATCTCCCCGTGGCATGCAGTTCTTGGAGCTGTCTGCTCCTGTAGCGCAGTTTAAACCAGGTTGCAGGAGAAGCCAAGCAAGCCCCAGGATCGGGCTGGCTTTTAAAAAAAAAATCTGGTATTTTTCTTCTTGGGTCTATTGGACCGGGAATAAAATGGGGTTTATGAAAAAAAATCCCAGATCTGAATACCGTACTGGTACTAGGATCCAGGATTTTTCTGAAATACCATTTATTTTCCTGGTCCAATAGACCCCAACTGAAAAATACCAAATTTTTAAAAATTGCAAAACCCTATTGCTGTGTCAAACCTTGGCTTTTAAGCTCCTCCTCTTTTCCTCTACAAGACTTCACAGTTCAGACCCACTATTATGCTCCTTGCAGAAAGTCCTCATTATAAATTCTCTTGATTTTTCATTTCTTTCGCTTTTGTCCTTTTGTCACCCCTGGTATTATTTAAACTTATTTTCAGTTCCAGATAAATGCTATGAAACTCTGACAGAAAAATTAAGGTATCTGAAGGAAACTTTTTGTGCGTTGTTGTTTTTTTGGCCGTATTTTATGAACACTGCAGGGGCTGCCAAAGAAAACCCTTCTGAATTCAAAGAGCGGTATAATGTGCTTTGCCTTTGTCAAGGAAAAAAGAACCAGCTTGGGCCAAGAAAGGAGGGTGTTCCTTGCGAACTTAGTCAGCAGTACCGAAAGTGCCCCCTCTTCAGGTGGTGTTTCGGGGACCCTGTCAAAAGGCTGTAGAAGTATTGGCCCATTCAGGTCTGCAGGAGATGTCATGCCCCCCTTTTCAGGCGGCTTTGTTTGCTCTCAGTAATGTGGCAACATCACACTGGGTCGGGATCACTCGAGGAAAGCAGCAGCAGAAAGGGGAGGGGAGGGGTGCAGAAGCTTATGAAATGAAAACGGGTGGGTGTCAAGTCCCCCCAGCAACAACGAAGTACACGCTTGTAGAAAGGTTTTACTTTTATTGAAGCTAAAGGTGCATTGACAGGAACACTGTTCGGAATGACTTGGAACCAAAGAGCATATCAGGATATAGTACATTCAAATTAGCAGGATCCAATTGCGGGAGTTCCCCCGCGCGGCATTAGGCCTGGGAACTAACGGTACGAATAAGCATAACAGGTAAAACTTCCCACGACTCATCCTAGGGATAACCCAAGCAACCTCTACAGCAGCTCTCCTCCTGCGGCCTTGAAAGATACGTGTTGCTGTGGCAAAGCAATTAAGCGCAAGGAAAGGAATGTGCGTGAAAGTGAAAGTAGAAAGAAAGAAAAAACACTTGGCAGCTTGCTGACAGTGGGTCATGGAGGAGGGGGTTTCCAGGAAGTTTCATCCATGATC